ATGACTCTCTGGGTGCGACCCTCTAGCCAATTCGCCACCCACCGGACTGTGTAGTCATCCATGTCACAGCCTCTTAACTTGTTCACCAGTATGGGGTGGGATACCGTATCGAAGGCCTTCCTGAAGTCTAAGTATACGACATCCACCCCTCCTCCTGTGTCCAGGCGTTTCGTAACCTGGTCATAAAAAGAGACTAGATTGGTCAGGCACGATCTGCCTGCCACGAACCCGTGCTGGTTTCCCCTCATCATCATTTAATGTGTTGGGAGGGAGGGAGAGGCAGATCCTTGTGCTGAGCTAATGTTCCCTACTCCGTGGAGTTCAGAGTTAGACTGTCAGGGTTTCTGCCCCATCACCTCAGACCCTGCTGGGACAAGCCCATGTGGGACACGTGTATGAAGCCTGAATGCTTTCATGCTCTAATGGGCTGAGGAGGAGCGCAGGACGTACAGCTGTGGCTCCCTGTTCTGGGAGAAGCAGGGCTCTGCTTTCTGCCTGCTTCCAGGACAAGTTCATGTGCAAGGAATGAGCCCACAGAGCTTTTCTCTGCTCACTAGTCCCAGGTGGCCTGAATGTCAGAGGAATCTACACGAGGACAAAGGCCTTGACATGAACCTAAACCTGGACTGTATCGTGTTTCAGATTTTATGACACTCAGGACCATAAATGATGTGTGCCCCGGAGGCGGCGGGGGGGCAGGGGAGCATGGCGACCACCCCCAGGTAGCAGCAGCGGCGGCTGTGTCAGCAGTGTGTTGGAAACTCCTGCAGGCAGCTGCAGCAGTATCAGTGGCGGGAGTGGGGGAGGTGGAGTGCTGACCAGTGGTCAGTGACCACCTGCACATGCCATTGGTGGCATCAGCAGCGAAGGGATGGTGACCGGTGACTGCCCACAGGCACCGCTGGTAGCACTGGCAACACTTTTTGCAGGGGGTGCACCACCAATCTCAGGAGATTCACTTCTCTCCACAACAGGAAAGCTTATGAATTCCAACCATGCTACAGAGCCATTTAGCACAGCCTGAGACCACGATGAAACACTTCCTGGGTTCTACGCCAACCGGGCCAGGAGATGCCAGGGAGAGCCTCAGCTTCTCTCTTGACCAGCAGCAAGAGCTACACAGAGCCTCTGCACACCATGTTGATTTCCATGGGGGGACTACAAAGCCCATCATGCCCTTGGAGATGGTATTAGAGAGGTATGACTACCTTGGGCTGCAGAATGAACTCTTACATTGCTGAGTGGAGATGGAAATGTAAGATCATGGCATCCCAGGGAAACCAGATCTGGGCCATGAAAACAAAACAACACACTTGATTCTTCTTTACCAGTTGTAATTAGGGGAAAAAAAAGGGAAGAGCTGCTTTGAATAGCTTTGAATTTCAGGGAGGGGGAACAACACCTGCCTGGACACATTACAGCATAACAAACTGTTTTTGAGGTCAGCACCCTGAAAAGTAATCCCAGGGCAGGTCTGCCGTTTCCAGGCCCCCTGGCACTCTGGGCATGGAGCATTTCTGTGAGGGGAGTGGGTGGAAGGAACAGCCACAGCTCACCTCCTGGCAGCAGGTCTTCAGACATGGAGATTTTCCCATGGTCCTCATCATCATAGACCCAGAGCTCCACCTGTCCTTGCTGGATGCTGCAGATTAAGGCAGGTGTAGGACCTTGATATCCTGTTTGGGGCAGTGGTAAAGGAGGGTTAGTGACTGGGTACTGGATGCAGAATAACCACGTGGGATTTGGGGAACAGATCCTATGAACTCAAAGTATCTCCTAGGGCCTTGATGGACAAGGGAGGATGGGTGTTTAGGATGAAAGCCTTCAACAGAGGAAGCCTCTATAGGAGAAGCCTTCAATAGAGGATGGTCCTTGTCACCCAGGTGGTGGAGGGATGATCACAAGAGACAAAGCACCTACCAGTCATTGGTAAAGAATGGGTAACAAAATGACAGAGTCAGCAGGGTCAAGCATGGAAATGCAGTGATTCATGATGTACTAGTGAGGAGAAAGATAACGCTTTAACTGTTTACAAGGTACCAAAAAGTAGTGATATTGGACACACTTCTGCATGGATAACATTTATCTTATATCAGTGTAATTCCAGGCAAAGGATTGGAAATGAACTTATTCTCAGTTAAGTTTGAAGTGAGGACTTGTGGCAGTGAAAAGCATCCATGACAGGTGGCTGAAAATAAAACTGTTTTCTGGGAGAGAGGGTAAATGAGCATCACCAGGGCACAGGGAAGGATGATCTAATATATAAAGGGCTCAATCTGTCTATCCAGAATGATTCTGCTGTAGTGCGCATGCGCCGCTGAGATAGGGTTACTATATGTCTGGGATTCCCTGGACCTGTCCCTGCTCCCTTGCAGCCCTGATTGCTGTCCAAGTGGTTTGTCCAGGATTTCCCTTAGTTGTGCACGTAGAAGCAGGGGGAGGGCAATTGCAGGCAGTGTGGAGCATGCACGGACCTGCCGGCAGCTACGGAGGCGCAGACCTATGTGGCGGGCCAGTAGGGGGCGCTCCTGCATTGAGCCACCCGCCTCACTGTGCCGGACCCCTTTCCAGGCTCCGAGTTCCCCCCTGGGGGTGCCGCACGTCTGGCCAACCCCCTTCCTGGACCACACATGCAAGCCTGGGAGTAACGCTAGCACCACCCAGAGTCTGGACTGATCTTGGACCTGTGCCCCCCTGGGAAACACAGGCCTAGTAGTCCTTGACGGTATTGACCCACTGCTAGAACTTGGGGTGCTTCCCTCAGTCTAAAGCACAAAGAGTGGTTTCCCTCAGTCAGCCAAACCAAGGGGATGGCAAGGCATAATCTAGGCCGCTCCCCAATAAGTCTCCTACACTAGGTACAAAGCAGAACTTTACTGGTTACAAAGAGTAGGTTTGAAATAGGGTACAGGGTAGAGCAATATCACAGAAATACTGCAGAGCAAACAGTGGCATGGTAGACTTTCATCATACATCTGAGTTACTGCAAGCTTTATATCTAGTTAGATCTCAGGTAGCTTACTCACACGTATCATCCAGGGGCCACTGGGGATTTCCTCTGGAGGCAAACAGATCCTTGACCACAAGTTTCAAGATAGAGAGAGAGAGAGAGAGGTTCAGATGGTCCAGCTTCTCTGAGTTTGCATCATAGCTACTGCCCCTCCTCCTGGGCAGTCCTTTACTTATACAGCCCTTATGGCCTCATTTACCTGATCCAATAAAGGCCTACACCTGTTAGCTGACAGGCAACCAATTTGGAATGCATCACTGGTTGCTGGGTAGACTGGCAGGGTCTCTAGCCTCCTCCCAGTCCTGTTGGCATTGCTTAGAACAACAGGGAGTTTAAGCCCCCCACCCAGGTATGTGATGCCTGTCATATAGGCAGAGGAAGCAGGTTTCCCCCTCCCTCAGGAATGTATCCAACTCAGGTTACAATTCAGGGTTACCTGAAGCCAATGGGGCTAAGGGTGTCTGCCCTCTGCAGTGACCATGGTAACCAAATCTTCAGATAGCAGAGTTTGGGTAGAAACAGAGATGGTATTCTGCCACCCTCCCCCCCTTTTAAAAGCTTGGGCACATGGCTTTACAGAGCTATGGGTACGATCACGTTTCATTTACAAGGGTCACCTTTCACACCTAAAGAGAGATCACACAACACATAAGACTGGTCATAACAATGATACACAAAGAAGACTGAAACACACTGGGGAGCTCCCACAACAGAGCTCTCTCAGGTGGGCCTGAGTCCACCTGACCCACTACATGGAGTCCTTTCACGACAGGGCATCCACTATCACATTCTGGCTTCCCTTGATGTGTTCAATGGTGAAGTTGAACTCTTGAAGCTGCCAGGTCCATCGTTGAAGCTTGGCGTTGGTATTCTGCATAGATTGCAACCATTGAAGTGGGGCATGGTCCGACAAGACGGTGAACTGCTGCCCCCACAGATAGGGCCTCAGCTTGTTCAGTGCCCAGACGATTGCCAAACACTCCTTCTCAGTAGATGACAAGTTCTGTTCCTGAGGGATTAACTTCCAGCTTAAGTAAACCATGGGGTGCCGTGTCTCTCGGTGCTCTTGTAAGAGTACGGCGTCTTGATTCGGAGGCATCAGTGGCTACATAGAAGGGTTTATCATGGAGCGGTGACTTCAGGATCGGTTGCTTGATCAGGGTGGCCTTTAGGGCATCAAAAGCTTCCTGGCACCCCTGCTTCCAGACCGCTGGATCAGGGCTGCCCTTCTTGTTCAGCTCATGTAGGGGAGTGGCTGTCACTCCAAATCCAGAGACAAACCTCCTGTAGCATCCAGCCAGACCAAGGAAGGCTCTGACTTGCTTCTTGGTTTGTGGGGGTGACCAGTCTCTGATGGCCTCGATCTTGTCCCACAAGGGAGCAATCTGACCTCCACCCACACAATGTCCCAAATATACCACTTCAGATAGTGCCATCTCGCACTTTTTGGCTTTCACAGTAAGACTGGCTTGCTTGATCTTACCACAGTGGCCAGATGGACCAGATGCCATTAAAAGTCCTGACTGAAGATGGTGATGTCATCGATGTAAGCCATGGCAAACTGCTCACATCCTTGTAACAGGTTATTAATCAGTCTTTGAAAAGATGCAGGAGAGTTGTGCGTACTGACAGATAAAACTGTTAACTCATATAGTCCCATAGGTGTGGTAAAGGCAGACTTGGCTATGGAGTCCGGATCCAGTGCCATTTGCCAAAATCCTTTGGACACATCAAGAGTAGAGATAACCTTGGTGGGGCCCAGGAGATCAAGCAAAGAGTCCATCCTGGGCACAGGGTATGCATCAGGGGTGGTAATGGTATTCCACTTCCTGTAGTCCACACAGAACAAGATGGTCCCATTGAATGTTTCTACAAGCCCGTTCGTTTGAGGGTGGTAGGCTGTGGTCTTGAGGTGTTTCACCCCACAGCACTCCCATAGGTCCTGCATCACCTCAGTCAGGAAGTTCCCACCCTTGTCAGTCATGATCTCAGAGGAGAAACCAAGCTGAAAGATCTTGGCCAGGGCTTCAGCAACTACAAGTGCCTCAGTGGAAGTCAAGGCTATTGCCTCCGGGTACTGAGCTGTGAAATCCACTACAGTCAGGATGTATTTCTTCCCTCTATGAGTCTTATGCCACAGCGGGCCCACAAGGTCTATCACCACTCTTTGGAAGGGTTGATCAATGATAGGGAGGGGCTGCAGGGGAGCCTCTCTCTTGTCCCCACTTTTGCCCGTCTGCTGGCATGTCTTGCAAGATCTGCAGTAGTCTGTCACATTCTGGGCAATTCTGGACCAATAAAAGTTTGCCTGCAGCCACTGGCATGTCCGTTCCCTGCCCACATGACCAGCACACGGTAAATCATGAGCCATGGAAAGCCATAGTTATCTGAACTTAAGAGGTGCTTTGAGCTGGTGATAGGGCTCTGGACAGACAATTGGTTAGTTTTAGAATAACTGCAGTTGCAACTAAGGCAAGCATCCCATCCAATGGGACGATCATCCCAGGAGGGGAGATGAATGCACAGGTTGGCAAACACTGCAGGGTTTAACACAAAGCTCCTGGGAATCATGGATATGGACAAAAGAAGGCAGGAGGACACACATTTCAGAGCATGGGAAAACCCGTCATGTAGAAATGGTCTATATGGTCTTTGTTGAGCTACTAAAAGCACTTGAGCACTTCCCTAAGGAAATCCCCTGGGGAAAATGGAGGAAAAAGAAGACATGAGAAAAGCAAACTGATCTATTGAAACATAAGTACCATCATCCCTGCACAGAAGCCAGATCTGTATTAGAGATCCTCTGGAAATGAAAACTGGTTTTCTCTACCTCCTGCACCTAGCCCACTTCTCTGATCACAGTGATGGCTGTCTGATCGGCAGAGGGGCTTGAGGAGGAGAAGAAAGCTTTTGAGAATGGCAGACTAAGCTTCAGAGCACAGGTCTTTACAGAAATTCAGCCAAGCCAGAGACTCTGGTCAGTTTAAAAAGGGCCCACCAATGGCAAGGCCGCAGTTTGTCCCCAGCTCCGGCGAGAGAAGCACAAGCAGAAGCCCGTTGTGCCCCCATGGAGCCCTGGCACCCCCAGGACCTCTGAGCAGGACCCCAACCTGGGCCCCCAAAGCAGCCAGAGGTAGGTGGGGCCCGTGGTAGGAGAGGGACCTAGCTAGCTGCTGGGCAGCTGAGTGGAGCCAGGGAGGGTCACGCCCCGCCCCGCCGCCACCAGCTTCTACATCACCCAGCTCCCCAGGGACCCATGCACCCAGAGCCTCATGAACAGGACACGTAAACAGGGCATTTCAAAGCCTGGCGTGTGAGTTAACACGGGAGTTTGCACAGGAGGGCCCGAGGCCCTGGCAGTGAGCACCAAGGGAAGGTGGTCACAGTAGTAGCCGGACTACCATCAGTACAACGTGGATGGCCACATGCCGCACCCCTCGGAGTCTGAGACCTTCCCCTCTGGCACTTCTGAGGTCTCCCCCAGACGGCACCCACGGTCCTGGGCTCCACGTACGTGAAGCCTCTGCCTCTTGGCTGCCTGGCATGAGTCCAGGCACATGGGATTGGGACTATGGCCACCTCCCCTTGTGAGGTCTGCTCCACTTTGGAGTCTTTGAGGCACCACATAGAGGAGCTCCAGACCACACTCCAGAGACTGCGTGCCATCAGGGGTGGTGAGCAGATCAACTCCTACTGCCAGACCCTTCACCCCATGGAGGCCGAGGGTAGACCAAGGTCACCTTCCAGGACAAGAGAGGACTTGAGGATCTCCCAAACGGTCCAGCCAGGGCATTGGACCAAGGTGGTCAACGGCCCCAAGGCGCACTGCTTCAGGGTCCCCTCCCCTCTGGAGCTTTGCAACAGGTATGAACTTCTTGCAGCTCCAGCAGAGCCTCCACAGTTGCCAGCTCTTGCAGGCAAGGAAGGATCACTCACAGCTACCATCCCTGCTCTCCCCAAGGCCACTCGCAGAGTGGTCGTTGTGGGAGACTCCCTCCTGAGGGGGAATGAGAAAGCAATCTGCCGCCCCGACCCCTTAGCCCAGGAAGTCTGATGCCTCCCGGCAGCCCATATCTGGGACATAGCAGAGAGGATCCTAAAGCTCATCCAGCCCACTGACTACTACCCTATGCTCCTTATCCACGTGGGCACGAATGACACAGATGAGAGCAATCGTGGCTATGCCATGACTGGCTACAGGGCTTTGGGATCAGGGCTTAGGGGGCACAGGTGCCGTTTTCCTCAATCCTTCCGGTTTCGGGTCATGGACTAAGGAGGGAGACAAGGATTGAGGTAGTCAACTGAAGACTGTGGT